TTTTTTTTTTTTTTTGCGCCGCGCCGAAGGTCAGACGCCCAAAAAAAAAATATGGGCGTGTAGGGCTTTTCCAGCCCTACACGCCCATTTTTTTCATTTTTTTTTTACATGTATAAAATGGGAAAAAAAAATAATGCACCGAACTCGGCAGGTCGGCCTAGGCCGAACCGGGCCGATTCGGTCATCGGCTTAGGCCGCGGCCGACTCGGACCCCCCGGCCGCGGCCGGGCGTGCAACATAGCTCTTAGGCTATCGACGCTCCTCAATTGGGAAGTGAGGGAAACCACGACCACAGACCCCACCACTTCCACGCACATTGACCTCTTTGCTCCGTGCTTCAATGTGGGTGAGATGGGAAACTTTCACCAACATCCCCAATTCACACGAACCCGAACGGCCCGCCAAAATAGGCACGTGGTCAAGGTCCTTGACTGCCGTAACGACCACTTGTCCGATAATGCAACTAGCTGAGCCAGGGTTGCCGGTCCCCCGACGCCAGTCTCGAAACCGGTCACTGGGTCAAAAACATCCATTAAATAAAAGCCGGAATAATAATAATAATAAATAATAATAACAAAATAAATAAATATAAACTCGAGGAACACAAGAAAATTAAGGGGATGAGGGGCCGTGTGTCTTGCTGGCCTGTGACACCGCGCACACCCTGACTGCGCAGGGTTGCACCCCGCCGTCGACGCACCACGGGAGCCGCTCAACCAGGCGAGGGCCTAAGCTCCCTCTCATGCGCGCGCCGTCGTACGGTCGAGGCTGCACTGGCGTGACTTTCAGAAAGCACGCCAAATACCCTTGTAAGGGTATTTGGTACGACAACGTTGACACAAAGTGAACACTCAAGAAGGATAACAGGAGAGGGGGAATCCGATAACGCAGAGGTACTAATTAGAAAATATTCCATCTAGCATGCATCTCTACAGATGAAACTATGTTATTTTTTAATTATTTAGTGGTTACGGTCTTGACTGACAACTAACATACAACTGCAGATTGTCTTCTTTGCTCCAAGCAATCTGTTCCAGAGTAATCTAAAAATAGAATTAGTATCTCCTATAGGATCTGGCATTGATTGCTAGTTACCACTTGACTATTTCTCTCCAGGCTGACCGAACTTAGATTTAGATATTAATCGGTTGTGTGTCGTGCTGAGGTGGGATCCAGTGTGGGTTCTAGTTTAGATCACACACACTGAAGCTGATGAGTGATGTAGGCAGTAGTGAGGAGGAGGAACGACTAGTGGAACCTCTGTAGAACTGCTCTCAGTCGACCGATCACTTTCTCAGTGTTAGCTCCAGGAGAGGAAAGGAGGCTTCGGAGGGAAGCCAAGGAGAGGGCGACATTAAGAAGGACTAGGTCAGCAGCAGCCAGCTTAGAGGCCGCAATGGCTACCACCTCCATGTCACAGGCCTCATCCCAAGCCACTTGAGTTAGTCAGGGTATCTCTCAGGGTCCAGTCAGTCAAGCTGTTGGCTCGCAAGTCAGCCAGCAAACTCAACTCATACCGGAGGATTATGAGATCCTCCAAGCACAAGAACTTCATGACGAGCTGCAGCGGCAATTTTAGAGAGGCAGCAGAGAGGACACACAAAGCTATATTGAGAAAAGCTAGACTAGGGAGTAGGAGGCAGGAACTAAAGTCGACACTTGATCCTGCGAGTGTTGCGTCATTCGCTTCTTTGGGTGGCAGAAACGCAGGTTGTGCAGTAGGAAGTGCTGGCTGAACTAGTGGCTTGCCAGAACGGGATTCTGGCTGCAATGGAGGCCCCTTGTCCAATGATGAGGCAGCCTCAGTACGCTGTAGCTCCCCCTTCGGTTGCGGGTCCCTCAATGACGTCGTCGCCTGCAGGGCCTTCCTTTTCTCCTATGTTTGGCATGCCCCCTTCAGGTGGTCAACCAATGGTTAGTGGTCCGGTTCTTAGCACTTCTCCCGTACCATCGAGGATGGTGGCAGCTACAGTTCCATCGTCAGGACAGGCTCAGGTTAGCATGCAACAACCTGTATCAGTGGCTATGCAGCCACTTCAGCAATCGCCTGGGCAAATCCAACCCATGCAATGGATGCCCAAGATCCCCTTGCTGAGTCCTAAACCTTTTTCTGGTGACAAGAAAAAGGAAGAGGACCTGGATACCTGGGTGAGGACCGTGCCCACTTATGTGAGGCATAAGCTTACAAGGCTAGAACAAGAAGTTATAGTCGCTGCTTCCTTTTTAGAAGGATTTGCAGCTCGATGGTTGAACGACTTAGTGCAGCAGCAGGGCTATGGTCAAAACTTCGATGCCTGGGCCCAGGCCCAGACATTAGAGGACTTCGTTTGGAAATAGGTGGCATGACCCACAAGGGGCTCAAAGGGCCACTGAAGCAATAAACAGTCTCTGTTCCAAACGGTACAGGACTGTGCGTGAATTCACAGACGCAGTAGAACGTCTGATTGTAGTACCCGGTGTGCGCTACGACCCGCAGGTACTCCTCACAGATTATTTGAGATATATGCCCACAAATGTCAAAAATAAGCTGGTTGATGAGGTCAACATCGACGTACATAGCTTCGCAACCTTCAGCAGGAAAGCCTTAGACATAGAGGCTAAGCTTGGGTCCGCTCATCAGGGTCAGGGAGATGGTAGGAAAAAGAAACTTCCCCAAAATTGGAGGAAAAAGGGCAATCTCATGTTTGTCGACCATGATGGTCAGGTAACTCAAATTGATGACTTCCCTGACTATGGGGAAGACGCAAAGCAGGATGGGGCTAGTGAGAATTCAAATGGGGGAGTCGTAGCTCCAATCAAAGAAAAGGCTAGGCGGGCCAGTGTCGGGCGGCGCAAGCCTTACGCCGCCCTTTACTTCCTTGAGGATAACATTTGGCGAGGACTGAAGTCGGTCAATTTGCCCGGCGGGACCGCAACCGACACCAAAGGATACGAGATCAGATTCACGCGACAAGAATCGAGACTGAGTCGCCAAGAAGAAGCGGATCCCTGAATTCTGGGTAAGCGCCCTTCTTCGCGTGCTATCGCGACCAATCGTTGACAAGACTCAAAGGAGTGGCTACTACGGAGGGGGATCGGAGGCTACGGAGGACGGACAGGAACGATGAGATTAGACTTACCTTGAGTACTGTGGCGATGGGTTGGACGGAGGGAGCTTGCGGTCTTTAAGGCAGACCCTCAGGGGAGCTAAATGGCACTCGGCACCGAGGCTCATCATGGGGGTAGACTAAAGCAGAGATTGCTGCTCAAGCACGCTTGGGCGTGTGGCCCTAAGGAAAGGCCTTAAGAGGCCTGCGGACCGGTCGAGGGAAAGAGCGCCATGAGATTATTAATCCCGGGGTCCGGCCTGCAAGATTCTAAGAGGCCGGTACCTCTCATGCGGGGACCACGGGAAGGCAGGCCCGGCTTAGGTTCGAGGAGAGGCCTGGCACCACGGCGCTGCAAAAGACCCGGTACCCGACAAAAGGGCCCCTTTTACTGGAAACCCGTTGAGGGCCCAAACAGGCTCGGGCGCAGGTCCGGTACCGGGGCGCTGCAACTTGGCGGCGGCCCCAGAACACATTAAGGCTGGGACACACTTCGGCAAAGGGCCAGACAAAGCATATAAGCCGAACCGGGCCCATGACAAGTTCTTTTTTTTCGGACGGGCGCACGAAAAGGGGCACGGGCTGGCACGCGGAGGGTGCTGGCTCAGAAACGCACAGGGGGGTCCGATCTCAGGGGCGTTTGGAACGCCCCGGTCACGGGCGTGCGCGCCAGCAAACAGGCACGTCGTGCATCCACGGGCCACGACAACGCAAGCACGAGAGAGGCAATCTGGGGACTAGTCGAGACTTCCGGGGGGGGGAGCACGAACACGCGTGCTCTTCGGAGAAGACGACGAACCTGGATAGGTTCCTGGAAACTTGCAGGCGCAGACTCTACTCTCACAAAAAGGGGGAATTTTCCCTTTATGGAAGGGAGGGATCTAATCAGGC